TAAGACAAAAACATTCCGGCCGGTCGCACACACCGCTCCGAGAGGGAAACAAGAGAGACGAAACACGTGAGAAGACTGAAAACAAAAAGGATGGAAGACGGAAGGATGCTTTCTCTCCTTTCTTGAAACTTGGGTGTTGCTGTCTGCCGGTTGTACACGGTGTCTCTCTCTCTCTCTCTCTCTCTTTCTCTCTCTCTGCCCCCCCCCCCCTCTCTTTCCCTCTCCCTCCCTCTGGCCCTTATACCTGCCGCGCGAGAATTGACCGCTCCCTCTCACCCCCCGCCAAAGGCGCGCCGCTGCCGGCACCCTTCTTGCTGCCCTTCTTGCTCTTGCCGCCTGCTTCTGGTAGCCCACGATTAGTCCACAAACGGTCGCCGCACGCAGCACGCCGCACGCAGCACGCCGCACGCCACACGCCATCGTCCGACAGCAAGCGAAGCGGAAAAAGTTAGTCGACAAAGCACCACCGCACGCCACACGCCACCCTCCCCGTCACCCGACAACACAAACGGGGGCGAAATGGGCAATCTGGGATCGAGGAGGACTTCGTGCGCTAAATTACTTGCTGAACATGTTTCGGCAGTGTCCAAATAGTAAATAGTTGTACGGCATCGAAACTAAATAACAACACTTCCGGGGGTTACATGGATGGGATAGACAAGCTACGTCGGGCCAGCAAAGACGAAGGGCGACGTTTGGGTTTCAGGAAGCCAACAAGGGGACGCCGAGGGAAAAATCTGGAAAATCAGACCGCAGGTCTCAACAAGGAGGAGGCCACGGAAACGTTCCGGAACGTTCCGAAAGCGCCCGAAAGGTGTTGAAACAGTTCCTGGAAAGGGTCGGCAAAGGTTCCGTATAAGGTATCAAAAGGAAGATCCACTACAAGACAGGTTCCGGAAAGTTCTGTAAATTTCCGAAAGCGCCCGAAAGGTTCTGAAACAGTTCCTGGAAAGGGCGGGCAAAGGTTCCGGATAAGGTCTCGAAAGGAAGATCCACTACAAGACAGGTTTCGGAAAGTTCCGGAAGCGCACTAAAAGTCGTGAAGAATTTCCGGAAAGGCTCTGGATGTAATGCAAAGCCTTCTGGTGCTGGATAAGGAGTCCCGAAAAAAATTCTCACCGCAGGACAACAGTAAAAAAGATCATGTGGAAGAGACAGGATTTGTGGTGTTACAAGTAGGGAAATAAGATAATAAACTCACCTTTCGGGGAGGGATTGGTGGTCTTGAACCTGAGCTTCCTAGCGTCGCCATCGACCTCTTCCGAATCCACAGCGGCCTCGCTGAGATCTCGAAACTAAAAGCACAGCACAGCACAGCACAGCACAGCACAGCACAGCACAGCACACAAGCATACCGCACAACAGCAGTGATCGTCGGCGTCGTTGATACAAAAAAGAAAATAGACAGACAATATGTGTGTGTCAAGCGAGTAGGTGCCACGGCGGACAGGAACAAACCAGGAACAAAGCCCCCCCCTCCCCCCATTTTACTGTTATATATTTCACCTAGATGACAGCCGGGGTCACAGGAGCAAGAAGGTAACCAACAAATACGTGCTTTTGTTCATGCAACCGAAGGAGGGTGTGGGTGCGGGGCCTCAGGGAGAAGAGACCTTCTCTGCGTATCCACGGACTGGAGATATTTAGCTCGTACCACCAGGCTGTGTGAGTGCGCTGACTTAATTTGATGAAAAATGCTGGGTAGCAGCAACAATTACCCCTCCACGAACCAGGGGGGGGGGAGGGGGTGTACTCATAGTCGTGCATGCCATAAAATGTACCAGTCGTTAGACCATTGACCTCGCATCCCTACAAAGCCGGGACGGAGCACGCCGGGTTCTCACCGGACCAGGGGGGGGGGGGAGAGACAGGGCATGATGAAACCACGCTTTCCGTGTGCCAGGAACTTGGGCTCAGAAAGGGAAACAACGTTGTACGGGGAAACAAGGTTTAAGAAAATGGGGGGGAAGAAACAAGCTCTCACCCGCTTCACCGCTGGGGAGGTCTCGGAGTTGGTTTCCTCCAGTGAGTTAAACGAACCCGCGTCCGCGCTGATACGTCTTCTGTCCAGGAACGACTCGTCATCGTCGTCATCGTCTTCCCCTCCCTCGTCGATATCTCGGTCATCTTCGAGGGCGGACGTCTGTGCGGTGTGCGCGGACGACTCTTCCGTGGGCGCCGGGCTCTCCTCTTCCTCCTGAAAAATACAACCATCATTATCTCACGTTTTTTCCACCTGTTTGTTTTCTCACAAAAAAAAAAAAAACACATACAACACTACCGTCTGACCCGCGTCAGGCTCGCAAAAATGCTACGCGTGTGGATGGGAGCTTGGATTGAACTCCACAAAGCGGGTGGAAGGAGGTTTTATCATTTCATCGGTTTTTGTTTGTAGCACGAATGTCGTGTTTTTCGGCATTTGGGATTTGAGGGCGGACAGGCATCCACCGCCAAAAAAGTCCGGTAATCATCGCACACACACCTATACCTTACTGCTCCCCACAAGACAACCAACAACAACTTCGACCAGAACAACGACCAACAGCCACAGCAGCGCAGCACCAGCAACACCGACATCGTTACTGTCGGTTTTCGGGTAACCTAGTTGGCTTTTTAGGCGTCCGCGTCATGTGGACAATTTGGAGGTACTGAGCGGAGACCGCAAAGCTTTCTCAGCGTCAAGAAACAACAACAACAACAACAACAACAACGAATAAATAACAACTGCAACAGCAACTGCAACAGCAACAGCAAGAACAGCTACAACAACAACAACAACAACGACAACGACAACGACAACAACCCGTCGACCGATGGATTGATTACCTCCCACGCCTCGACAACGGCAGACTCTACGTGCAGTATCGCCCCGACCGAGCCGGATCGGGCTCTCGGCAAGGGGCCGGCGCCGCTCCAAGACTTGAGGTCGGCTTCGCTGATGTCGGTCACCATCCTAGGCCTCTCGTCGCACGGCTCTGTTAGGAAAAAAAACACAAAAAAGTGTTTCATTGAATGTTGTGATAGATATACTTGGTTCGTACTCTGCTGTTTGTTTCAAGGCTAGGGGGTAATCTTGTTGTTGAAGCTATGCTGGGGCCCCTCAATAGTGCCGGTTGTATAGTCAAAGTGCAACTGCCCGGTAAATACTGTGCAGGTGGAATCGCGTGACCAGGATGGCATGTCCAACCTGTCTCATTCTCGGAACAAGTGTCCGGCGCCCCCATGAATCTGGCGGGCACTTACCGGCACTCCCGAGGTACGGACCCCCATAGAGGACATCTTTGTTGCTATCGGTGCCTAATAATCTACCGCGGTGCTGTCGCAACTATTATCGCCCTGCAGTTACCTGCTGCGTACGGTAAACCCAAAGCAACACGCGCACGGCACAAAGCAATACATAAAACAAACACACGCACGCACGCACGCACGCCAACAGCAGCAGCCCGTCTACACGACGAAGCCGACAACGTCCGTTGACGTCTAGGGGTTTCCCTCTCGCACCTAGGAGCAGATCATCCCCCTTGAAGCCCGGGCCCACGGAGTCGCTCAGCACAAACTCCACGACGCACGGGCTCATCGCCGACGGGAACCTGTGAACGCAGTGACAACGGTGACAAGAAAATCGCTCCAAAGTCGTCGATTCGCTGTTGAGAAACTGTCCCTTCCCTAAAGTCACGACAATGTGTACCATGCCAGCATTGTCTTTTCTCTCGGCTGAATATCGCCCACTGAGCAGCAGCAGCAGCAGTAGCAGCAGCAGCAGCAGCTGGGCATGGGTCGCGTTGCAGCAAAAGCACTCCATCAACGCCGCAAGAGACCCCCACAAAAACATCACAGGCGCCAACATCACACCGATGGCAGATTCGGGAGAGCACCGGGCATCGCCGCCGAAGACAACAACAACAGCAACAGCAACAGCAACACCACCACCAACAGCAACAACAACGCCAACAACAACAACACCAACAACAACAACAACGAACACCAACGACAACGACCCACGACAATCATACTCCCCGGGCAATCGAGAGGAGACCCTCACTCACGTGTACGCCGTCGAAGGTCTAAGCCCCAAAACGGTCGTGTGCGGATCCAGCGGCAGTGGTACCACCGCAGTGCCCTTGCCGATGCCCCCCCCCCCTCTCCCCTTCCTG